AAATATTTGCAGTTCGGCGTTCTTTATGTCATCTGTTAACAATGTTTCATTAAAAACTAAAATATCATATTGTAAGTAAGAAGTATTTTCAAACAGTAGCTGAAGTTTTGTAAGTAGCTTTGATATTCTGAAAATACACCAGCGCTTTTGAAGTCTCGACTGAGGAAGCTTTGAACCTGGTAGATATGTTTAGTTTTTTCGTATTAACTTTGGCACACCATTAACATATTTCAAAATAAGATCGGATTCACCCTTACGCTGTCTTTCTTTTAACTCATGTTTCAGTGCATTGACCTCAGCTCGTTGTTCGGTAGTTAGATCAGCTTCCGAAATACTTTTAAACCTCTATCCAACTCACTCTTGTTTCTCAATATCAACCGAACCATTTCAGGTGACTCTAGAGTTAGTCGCAGTGATTGATACCCATTTTTATTTCGTTTACCAATTCTAGTTGAACTGACTACTTTTATATCAGAACCAGCTAAGCCCGATAGCATTTCCTTAGTTTTAGAGATGTCATCTTCCTCACCATTTTGGGGCATATTAAAGATCATAAGATTGCAAGATCTCTTTTTTTGTCTTCCAGACACTTAATACAAAACACTGTCGTGCACCAATGTAGAGCTGTAATTATTGTCGTTTTTTTTATTTGATGTAGAGGTGGTATTTTTTATGAAGGTTAGATCCTTCTTAATGTCTTCAAATGAGGTAGTAAAACTGGTTTTCAAACTCTTGACTTCATCGTTTACCTCACGAATCTGTTTTTCAGACTCCTCCATTTTTTGCCAGTTTGCAATTTTGATTTCACTTAGTGTATCTTCTAATGCTTTTACACGGTTGTTTAGTGTAACTGCCTTTTTGATTCCTGACACGCAGTCACAACACAAATATGGCATAATTCGGGTGGCCAAAAGTACACACCTTATCTCTGTCGAGCTAATTCCAGTGAAGTTTTTGCATAAAATATTTTTACAAATGGCACAAGGGTAACCAAAAACATCCCCTGTACCTTTATTAGGTTCTTTAAAAACACAGTTCTTGAAACATTTGCCACATGTTCCTGTCATTTATTAAGGTTATGTCAACAACTTTAAAGAATCAAATTAGCAAATAATTGTAGGTTATTTTATTAAAATGAAAAAGACAGCAAATATTTGATTTCACGCAAACAATTCCTATGTATCTGTTGATACGTATTTCGACCTAATAGGTCTCATCAGAACAGCTATTCATGGGAGTTGTCAACGTGAAAAATCAATATTTTCTGCCTTTTAAGAAGCAACAATAAAATGGCTTCAATACGGACGCGATAGCGACATCTAATTACAAAATCCGTAAAATAATTTCGAAACACAATTCAGATTTCTGCTTATAATCTGAGCCTTCTAAAAATTGCAAGGCAAACAGACGTTGATAAAAGATGTTAAAAAGGGACATGGTGAATCTAAAATTTGCATTCCACGACATGTCTTTACAACTAAACAGAAATCCTTAGCGAATTGTGCTTCTAGTACTCACATAGAGTAGATACATAGGAATTGTTTGCGTGAAATCAAATATTTGCTGTCTTTTTCATTTTATTTCGGATCTACTCTGTGTGAGTACTAGAAGCACAATTCGCTAAGGATTTTTGCTTAGTTGTAAAAGACATGTCGTGGAATGCAAATTTTAGATTCCCCATGTCCCTTTTAAACATCTTTTATCAACGTCTGCTTGCCTTGCAATTTTTAGAAGGCTCAGATTATAAGCAGAAATCTGAATTGTGTTTCGAAACTATTTTACGGATTTTGTTATTTTATTAGTTTATTATTTAGTTATTTGATTTTTATAACCAGCAAACTTATTGTTAGATATCTCTATCAATATTATAAATAAATTATTTTTGGTTGTATTAGTTTTTCATTGATAAACAATTAGCACTAATGAGCTGGATTTTAATGATATACGTATAGTTGATGATAGAAGTATAGATGAGAATGATCATTAAAACTCATAATCTCCAATAAAAAATTCAAAATTTTATTATGTAACTATGTAACGAGAAAATGTAAGAGTATATAAAAGTAATTAATGCAATAAATTAAATCGTTTATGGAATGAGTGATCAGTCATAACCCCCTGCCATTGATATAATGTATTTATACAAAACTAATTGAATTTCCAATCATTTAAAAAAGTGTTCCGACCCTGATTCGACCATGTTCACATACAAGTGCAAATTTATCCCATCCTATTCTAGTTGGTATGCATGGGAAACATCATAAAAATGGAAATAAACGCCGAAGCACAATAGGCCATTATTGCCGGATTATAATTAAAGGCACACACAGAGTTACCCAGTCAGTCAGCTCGAGGCTGAAAAGGCCTGTTTCTAAGCTTGAGACTCGCCCAGACAGCTTGGCCCCAGCGTTTCTAAGAATTTACAATCTGCTTTGAGATACAACAAAAAAGATTATCTTGACTTCATTGCCAGAGGACTTTCTTATCTAAGTGTCGGAAGAAATGTTCGATTTAGGGGATTTAAAATATTTTTGAGCAGGTGTTTCGCTACGTGTTATTGAAAATTACGTTTCTATTTTATTCTAAACGGTAAAAATTGTAGACATATCGATTTATTTGTATCAAAAGCATGGGTTATGTCCAAGATTAACTAAAATATTTTTCATAATTTGACAAATCGAGTTTTTAGTAAATTTTTAAGTTATATGCCTTTTATAAAGAAAACCTGTAATGCGTTCTGCAGAGATTTTGGCGTTTTTATTTAATTATTATGTGATATACCGTTCTTCTTTAAATAGTTGTTCTCATATTTTGGCATTGAAATCCCGGATTATTGGCCTTAATTTTGATTTGATTTCTTTTCTTCCATAGCTGTTGTTATGTCTTCGTAGAAATGTTCAATATCTTCATCGTGGTAGGTACTTGGAGCCTACACCTGTATGAGTTTTAAGGATGTTCTTTTTAATTTAATCGTTGTGTATGCTATTCTATCAAGGACAAGCAGTTTAAAATTGAAATTTAAAAAGGCGAAGGCATTATAGTTGGCATCAGGAGCGAGAATTTCTCCTGGTCTTAACGGAAATATTAAGGTGACATGTGACATATGAGCAGTCACAAATCACAGTTTTATTTAGTTTCTTTTGATGTTTCCAATTTGTTTACTTCTATACCAAGAGATAAATCATTAACTTTAGTACACAACCTTCCAAACAATTGCAACATCATCATCATCATCATCCAGCCCCATTTTCACATCCATTGTTGGATAAAGGCCTCCTCCAAACGTCTCCAGTTCTCTCTATCTCTAGCTGCTGCAATCCAGTTTGTTTCTATTCTCCTTAGGTCGTCATTCCATCGGGTGGGTGGTCTGCCTCGATCGTCCATCTCTCTTCTCCATCTCCATCTTCTAATCTCTTCGTCCATCTTCCTTCTTCTATTATAGCAACATGTCCAGCCCACCTCCACTTTTGTTTATTGATTCGCAGTAAAAAAAAGGCAATTGCGACATTACCAGCAAAAGACAAAAATGCCATCTTAACTATGCTTAAATTTTGTCTTGATCAGGACTGCTTCCAATTTAATTTAAAAAATATATAACAACCAACAGGTTTAGCGATGGGATCTCCATTATCACCTTTGCTAGCTGATATTTTCTTAGACAGCTTAGAGCAGAAATTTGTTAAGAACTGCAAAATAGTTTTTTGGTCAAGATAGGTTGATGATTGTATAGCTCTCACACAGAAATTCCCAGATGATGCTTTACAGATTCTGAATGTTCTTAATACCCTCCATCCTAACATCTATTTTACACAGGAACCAGAATCTGACAATAAGTTGAACTCCTTGCATATGACCATATCTCGTAGTAAAGATTCTCTACAGTACCTACAATATTTACAGAAAACCTACTCGAACAGATCATGTTATACATGAACCATCTAATCATCCAACCCAACATAAAATGGCTGATTTCAACAGTTACATTAATAGGTTACTCAAATTTCCACTTTCTAATGATAACTCAAGCAAATTGCTTTTAATAATGGTTATGATCCCAACATTATCCATAAGCTTCTAAATAGAGCTAAACTCAAAAATGCAGAAAACCTTGCATATTCATCACAATGTTTGATTCAACCCAATGCTTGAAATAACATCCGATATTTCTTCTTTACTTATATTAGCAACATTTCCAATAAAATATCTAAACTTTTTACTACAATAGAAAACATCGAAATTTCCTTCAAGTCACACAACACTTTAGGTTCCTTTTTAATCAACACCAAAGATAGGATGAACATTTAAAATGTGATGATTGTGATGCCTCTTATGTAGGTAGAACTATTAGAAAGTTATCTACTAGAATTTCAGAACATTTGGAAACAGCAAATAAACTTAGCAGCAGCAGTAAACATGACAGTCGCTAGCACCTATTTTGGACACAAGCACATACACAAGATAATCTGGACCTCTCCTGATGGAAGAACAACGAGTCAGATTGATCACATCTTAATATATTCAAGGCATGGAACAAATGTAATAAAGTGCAGAAGTTATAGAAGCGCAAACATAGACTCAGATCATTGCCTAGTGATCTTAACATTGAGAGCTAGAATTTCAAACACCAGTAAAGAAAATAAAATGAATAGAAAAAAAAATAGAATGTACAAAAGCTGAAAGATGCGACAATTTCAGAACGGTACTCAAAAAAATATCCCAACAGGCTAAAAATCAGTTGCAGTTTTCGAGGCAACAAATTAATTTTACAACTTTAGCAATCGCCATTTTAAAGCTGTTTATATTTTAACAGATAATTTTAAATAAAATAAATTGTTATTTTGCCTCAAATATTAAGGTTCCTAATGGTGAGCAAAAAATCGATATAAAAAATGCAATTTGCAGCTCCTTAAACAATATCGCTTTATTTAATAATAGTGCTTTACTTAATAACAAAGCTTATGTGCCATTTAAGTACAGAAAGGGATAAAAATAAATATTGGCTAAGATTTTCTTGGACATCTAGAGGTGTCCCTAGCTTGAGAAGTGTCACGGCTGATCCTTGTTTTAGAAGCTGGGGCTGACGCAGAGGGTCGTGCTCTTGTAGCCGGTCGAGTGACTGAGGAACGTTGCTGGTCTCCCACTTGAGGAGGACCTCCTCGTGGAGTAGCTCCTCTTGGAGGAGGACCACCTCGTGGAGGAGCTCCTCTTGGAGGAGGACCTCCTCGTGGAGGCGCTCCTCTTGGAGGAGCTCCACGTGGGGGACCTGTTCGTGAGGGAGCTGCCCCCGGAGGACCTGTACGCGATGGAGCTGCACCCGGAGGACCTGTACGTGAAGGTGCTGTGCGTTGAGGAGCTGCGCCAGGAGGACCTGCACGTGGAGGAGCTGCACGTGCCCCCGGAGGAGCTGCACGGGAAGGGGCTCCTCGAGGAGGAGCTCCTCGTGAAGGAACTGCTCCTGGTGGACCTGCTCGTGTAGGAGCTTGTCGTGTGGGAGCTGTTCTTTGAGGAGCTCCACGTTGAGGAGCAGCTCCAGTTATTTTGATACTTGGAACACCTTTACCTGGTCTGCCTGGGCCTCGAACAGCACCAGTCGCTTGTGGAGGTCCTGGCGGAAATAATTGCTTCCGGGCTTCTGGAGGTTCTGCTTCTCGAGGGGGACTCGGGGGAGCTGGAGGAGGACTTGCCTGCTTTGGTGTTTCCGGATAGAGTTCTTTGTATCTGGGATGTTCTATAAATTTATACAGTGGCGAATATTGAACTCGAGTTGGTAAACCAAATTCATCTGTAGGTGGGGGAGATCCAGGAATTACTGGCATTTTTGGAGGTGGAGCTCGTTTTCTTGTGGGTCTTTCACCACCAGGAGGATAAAGACAGCTATCAGCCAAATCGGCTCGAAGTACCATTTCCCTCATTTTTGGAGACACCGCAGGAGAAGGGGGGGTTTCCATCCATTTCGGCCTAGGTATAGGACGTGGGGGTGTAGACGGAAAATCAGGACCTGCCATTGTACGTGGAGGTGAAGCTGGAAAATCGGGCATAGGAAAATCAAATATATCTTTATCAGTTACATCCGGTGCTTGAAATGGAGGAGTTTCAGGTTCTTCAAAAGTTTCGTATAAATCAGGAGGTTCTCCATAGTCAAGCATTTGAAAATTTAAGGGCATTTGATAAATGGGAGGAGTAGGTGGTAAAGGCCGTTCAGGTGAATCTGGCCAACCTGTATGCCTCCTGGTCGTCGAGGGGGAGTCATTGGTGGTGTAGGTAAGGTACCTACCTTTACCTCTGGTGGCAGTGGAGGTAAATCGGGATGTCGGGCCATTAATCTAGCTAAATAAGCATCTGTATCAAGATCGCGTTCTTTCGCCAAGTCAGGAGAAGGTGGAGGTGTTCTAATTTCGGCTGGTGTTCTGGGTGGTGAATAATAAGCTTGTGATTGTGGAGGTAATGGAGATCTTGTTGGTCTGGTTGGTCGTGGACCTTTAGGTGATCTTGGAAGCACTGGAATCTTAAATCTTCCACTAAACCAATGAGCTCCTGGAGGAAGTTGGCGAGGAGGAGGAGGAGGAGTCTGAGGAGCTGGCGGCGGTACTTCCCTTTTAGGACTTTCAGGCGGTTTAGGAGGTTCATATTGGGGAGGTTCTATCTGTGCAGGTTTACCCCTACCTATCTGCTTGCTATCTATCAAGGGAGGCTTACCTCTACCAATACCATATCGAGCAGTACCTGGCGGTGGTCTTTGTGGGCCTCTAGTTGCTTGTGGTACTCCTCTACCACTCGGTGCCATTCGAGAAGGGACTGCAGACGGAGGTCCAGTAGAAGTTGGCTGTGCTCTTGTTGGGCCTCTCGTTGGTGGTAATCTACTACCACTCGGGGTTTTTGATGGAGCACGTACGGCTTTAGACGGTACTTGTAGCTGTGTTTGCTTTGCTTGTCCAGTAGTGGAAGGTGTCCTTGAAGGTCGTACAGCTCCTGGAGGTTTAAATTTGCTTGACTGAGATGCGCCTACACGAGGTTGTGATGGTTTTTTTGAAGATGGTGCCTGCGGTGGTGCTGCGCCTGTGGTATCGCACGGTTGGTCGCAGCCCACTAATTTCTTTACCATTGCAGCTGCTCTCTTGTTTCCAGCAAAAACCTTTTCGATATTTTCTACCTTTTGTTGTACAGGTACACTTCTATACCTTTGCCGTGACATTTTTCAAAAGAAAATAGGATGGGATTCTGATTTTAACTATTACCTTAATATTGCAGCATTAATAAAAGGATACTGTGATTTTTCTACAACTGATAACTCTGACTACTTTTTAGGATTTTTTGTATACAATATAATATTACCAATAATTTTGAAAACGTAAAAATGACATTCTACATTTTGACATGAAATAAAACTATCAAGAAGACGTTTTACATGTAGTGTTTGACAGACAGTAAGGCTTTGTCACAATAAAAAAGTAAGGAAATTATTTATGAAAACTATGAACCAATAACAAAAGCAAAAACTTACTATCCAAAACTCATCATAAACCAGAGTGATTATAGTCCCTAACCTTTCATATTAAGTTGTTGGCAAAACGTTGTATTTCCAACAAAATATCTGAACATACATATTAAATCAGTGTAAAAATTATATTAAAGACGCAGCAAATAACATTCTAGGGCCGCAAAGACCACCACCACGCAATGAGTGGTTCGATGAAAAGTGCGAGGACATTATAAGAAGAAAAAACAATGCATCTAAACTGATGCAGCAAAGAAGAACCCGAGAAAAAGAACAAGAATATAAAGATCTCAGAGAAGAAGAGAAGTACATCCATCGGAGAAAACAGCGAACTTATGAAAATAGAATATTGGAAGATCTTGAGGCATTAAAAAAGGAAAATCAAACAAGAAAATTCTATAAAAATCTAAATAATGCAAGAGAAGAATTTAAACCAAGGATCGGACTATGTAAGGAAAAGGAGGGACATATACTCAATACAAAAGAAGAAGTATTGAAAAGGTGGGTGGAACACTATAAAGAACTACTTACTATCGAAGTAGAAGATCCAAATTAACCACCCCCAGGAGTAAGCAACAGTACCACCATGGAGCCTCCATCAATTCAATAAGTACGGGATGCAATAAAACACCTAAAAAATAATAAATCTCCAGGAAGTGATGGTATACCCGCGGAACTTATTAAATATGGAGATGCTACTCTGACTAATCATATATATAAAATCATACTGAGAGCTTGGAATGAGGAACAAATCCTGGAAGAGTGGTGTATCGTCAAAGTTTGCCCACTACACAAAAAGGGTGATCAATTGGAATGTAGAAACTATAGGGGAATAACCCTCCTTAATACAGCACACAAAATATTTTCGAGTATTTTATATGGTCACCTGAGTGCATATTCAGAGGAGCTTTTTGGCGAATATCAAAGTGGTTTTAGGCCTGGTGGATCAACAACAGATCAGATCTTTGTGCTAAGGCAAATACGGGACAAAAAACCAATGAATTCAATATCGACACATACCATCTATTCGTATATTTTAAATCGGCCTATGATAGTGTCCTAAGAAATAAATTGTATAAAGCTATGTATGAATTCCACGTTCCCGATAAACTGATAAGATTGGTTAAGGCTGCAAGTTGTTTGCAAAGTCGAAATTCAGGGCGAACAATCACAGGTATTTGAAATTGATGTTGGGCTGTGACAGGAAGATACGCTGGCGTGTCTCCTTTTCAACATAGCTCTGGAAAAGGCGGTCAGGGATGCCCAAATAGACAACAGACAAAACATTTTAATAAATCATCCCAAATTTTTTGGCATATGCAGATGATGTTGACCTAGTTACCCGCACAACACGAAAGCTAGAAGCAATGTATACCACTTTGTCAAATGTCTCAAAAAATATGGGCCTGCAAGTAAATGAGGAGAAAACTAAGATAATGGCATCAACACCCAACAATAGGCCAGAAACATCGGCCACCATTTCACGGTTGATAACTCTATCTTTGAAGTGGTGGACAAATTCACATACTTAGGCTCCCTGATCACCAAGGAGAACGTCATGACGGAAGAAATCAAGCGAAGAATAATCCTAGCAAACAAATGCTATTTTGGATTGAGTAGACATATGAGAAGCAGAAACTTAAGCCAAAAACAAAAATAACCATATACAAAATCCTTATACAACCAGTTGACATATGGACCATTTCCAAGGCAGATAAATACCTCCTGCTTATATTTGAACGAAAGATGTTGAGAAGAATATTCGGTGGCATCTGTGAAAATAGTGTTTGGAGAAGGATGTACCACTACGAGATATATCACAGATATAAACATATATTGGGTGGTAAAGACGTAGTATCTCTTATAAAAATAGGAAGACTAAGATGGGCAGGACATCTGGCAAGATCACAGCAGAACAACCCTCCTAGAAGAATCCTTATGTCACAACCTGTGGAAAATAGAAGTAGAGGTAGGCCAAAACTCAGATGGAGGGATGGTATAGATGAGGATGGTAGAAAAATAGGCGCAGCAAACTGGCAACAGTTGGCAATGGATAGAACTGATTGGCGTAATAGACTTGGGAAGGTCGAGGCACTTTTATAGGGCTGTAGCACCAATGATGATGATGACATATTAAACCAGTAGTTCAACAATTTAGTTTTGCAAACTTTCTGGGAAGGAACCAGAACCTTTGAGTTTGATAAGCTACTATTATTTACTAAGCTATGACCGCTATCTGTATAGATATGAGTGTCATATGAAATCATCCACAGTGGTGGGTTTTTATTTTGCTGATCAGAAAATATATAAGACAAAACGATGAATTTATATCATCAATATTATAAAAATGCATACTAAAAAACACATAATAACAATGAAGTAATTGATTTAAAAAAAATTGAATTACTAAGATATTTAGTTAGAAAATATTTAAAAATTTCTGGAATCATGTTTATTTTGTGAACTTGGACAAATTCTTGGTGACGGTGAACCGGCTTGAGGTCTTGTTCTCGTTGGAGTTCCCCGAGAATCTCGATATGTATCTTCATGAGACATTCCAGTCGATGTGGATCTTCCGATAAAATCAGGTGGTGGTGATGTAGATGTTATGTATTGATTATGCATTTCTGGGGGACTGTAAAATTGTGGAGGTTGTGTTGTAGACATTCCAGTCGATGGAGATATTCTGCTTACATCAGGTGGTGGTGATGTAGATGTTATGTATTGATTCTGCATTTCTGGGGGACTGTAAAATTGTGGAGGTTGTGTTGCATCAAGCATCCGCGCATGTGGTGTTTTAGGTAAAGCTCTTTCAGGCGATTGCCAACCGGATATTTCTGCAGGTCGTGGAGCAGATGTCCTTGTAGGAGGTGAAAAATCGGAAGGAGGCAAATCTGGATGTCTAGCCATAACATCTGCAATGAATTCATCAACATTCGTCTCATCTAGTCGCCTCCTTACAGTCGTATGTAAGCGTTTTTCTTCTCTTCTTGTTCGAACTGGTGTTTGGTAAAACTTAGAAGGTTCTTCCATAGCTTGTTGCGGGGAATAGCTTCGTAATTGTTGAGGAGGTGTTCGTTCTGGGGAGAAAAATTGAGGTGCCATCTCTTGTTCTATACCAGGAGGTGTGTGATACGTCGGCGGAATATAGCCTTTAGCAAAATCAAACATCCTTTCATCATCTGGGAAAGGACGTGGGGGTGTTGGTTGACGAGATGGTCTTTGCGGTGTTAAAGGAGGAGGAGGTAATCGTTGTGGTGTTTGTTGTATTTCTCTAGGACTAAATTGTGGTTGTTTTGACGCATCTGGACTTCTTTGCGGTGGTAAAGGAGGAGGAGGTAATCTTTGTGGAGTTTGTTGTATTTCTCTAGGACTAAATTGAGGTTGTTGTGACGCATCTGGGCTTCTTTGCGGTGCTAAAGTAGCAGGTAATCGTTGAGGTGAGGGGACAGATTTCTGTTGTTCCCTAGGACTAAATTGCTGTTGTGCTATCCCTGTTCTTTGTGAATATTGCTCTTGAATGCTACTTGCTGTTGATGCACTAGGACATGGTTTGCTAGCAGTAGACTTTGTTGGAATCTGTGTTTTTGTTGAAGGTTTTTTGAGTCTACTTTGCGTGGGAATTCTTGATCCACCAGCTTTAGGAATTCTGGAAGTGGGTATTGCTGTTTTTTGTATTTGTGACAATTCATGTTGAGGTGGTTGATCTGTGCATACAGTAGGTGAAGCAGGAGGACTTGTGGGAACAAGATCACTAAATGTTTCGTCAGCTATAGCTTGTACTGCACTTATATCAGGAAAAGGTGGAGTAGCTGGAAATATATCTGGTTCTGGCTCATCTTGCTCAATATCTGACACTACATTTGCAACTCTCTTTAACATTTCAGCGGTCTTCCTATCATTTCTAAACAAGTAGTCAATGTATTCTTTTTCTCTTTCTACGCGTGATAAAGGACGCATTGTATATTGAGGTGTGCTATAAGTTGACTCTGGTACCTGTCTTATTGGTTGTTTTCTATCATAGCAAGTCTTTCCTAGACTTGTGTCTGCGGGTAAACCAGACACATCGATATCTTGATCAATAATTTTCTCGGCTTGTGGAGTCTCTGGAATTTTTCTAGGTTGCAATGTCTCCATCAAAGATGGAACTACATCTGCAAATACCTTCTGGGCAGCTGGTGAACCTCTTGCGATTGGATGCATCGGTTGAGGTTGTGGTACCTGTGGTTCTGGTAATGATTTATCTTTCTGTTGTTCTCGTGAAATATCCTCTTTAGTTGAAGTATCTGTTTTGATATCACTATAATCAGGTTCCAGTTCGTCTTCAATGAGGTCTGAAAGTGCCAGTGCCTCTTGGAATAGTTTGTCCATTTCACCATCTCTACCGCTACACTCAAAGGAACATTTCTGTTTACTAGTGTCCGATTGTTTTGATGTCTCTTTTGGCAGAGGTGGTTCAGTTGTGTAAAGATGCGGTGATTTAAGTCTCTTAGGACTAACTGACGGTTTAGGAGTAGTTAAAGGAATACCAGCTTGTGCAGGTAGTACGCCTTGGGCATTTTCTGTTACGCGTTCTATTTCTTTTTGCATAGTTCTTGTATGTATTGTATCTTTAAAGTATTTAACAAGCAAAGAGTCTTCTTTAAGTTCCTGTTCATATTCAGTTTCACTTAAGTCGAAAAATTTCTCAAAATCATATTCCACCTTGGCTTTCCTTCCAGCATCTTCATGGTCATCTTCATCATCATCATCAAATAAACATGCCTTGCGTCGTTTCTTTCTCTCTTCGATAATTTCACCACGTTCAAAATCTCGCATGGCCCTTTCAATCTCATTGTATTCTTCTTCCAAATCCGAATCCATAAACGCTAGCGGTTCGTATCTTTGTTGTGCTCCTTTCTCAGAACGTAATTTTGGAATAGCTCCAGTAGCTGCAGTTGGTCTTGGTGCATCAAGAACTTCCATTAATGTTGAGCTCCAAGTTGGGGGTTTCCTTTCTTCTTGTGGTGGAATTTTAGTAGCCAATGGTTTAACCGGAGGAGTGTCACCCAACTTCATTTTAATTTTTCTTTTTTTCTTTTTATCTGGCGTGGGTTCTAAGGGCTTACAAGGATCTCCTTCAGGACCAGGACAGGTAACACAGACCCCTGCTGATTTACCGTGAGTACCCATAGGAAGTGGACTAGATGTGTCGACAGCACTTTTGGCCATTTTTGGAAAAATACCTTTGTCTGCTTTTTGCCAACTAGTGATTGGATCTTTGGATATCGCATAATAACAGTGAACTCCAAAACCAGGTATGTCCTGGGCAGCAACATACTCTCTTAAATCCGAAGATATATCAGTGGTATATGGAGGAAAATCGCCTATTTGGCCTTGTAACTGCCTTCTTATATTAGCTCGTCTTTCCTTTTGTTCAGCTATGATAAGATCTTCTGCCATAGCATTCAAATCGTACTCACCAGGAAATTCTTCAAGTACTTCATAGTTAGTGGGATCATCTGTAAATATCCCTACAAGTTTCTTTCTCTGAAGTGCAAAGAGCAACAACTTAATATAGTCAGTTTTCAGTTTTTCACCTGCGTGTTCGTCTAGCTTGATCTTTTTCACCCATGCTGCAGCTAAGACTCTATCTTTTGCGTCTGGTAAAGCGAATATTAATGGTCTTGCAAATTTCGAATAAAATTCCAATTCGTTAATATTTTCCATGGCAGCGATCGAAAATCCACGGCAAATTTGGAGCACTGTTGTGTTACAATTTTAATGACACTGTGACATTTTTTTATTTATAAAAAATGACATTTTCTTTCAATCAAATGATCCAATCGAATTGCTCAATATTTAGTATAATGTATTCGTTATGAAACAGTAAAAGCGTTAAATTAAGTCATCTTCTGTATTTTGCTATGTCTTTTTTCTTCTGGCCCACAGCTAAGTTATATACCTTGCTTTCATGTGACTTGCAATACAATGCATCTAGTTCTTTTGTTACTTATTGCATATTGATTGCATTTTTATAGCTTGGGTTATGTAACACAAAGATTATTAGATGTATAGCATATAATTGATTACAGAGAGTTATACATATAAATAACTGTAATTAACCTGCAAATCACTTTTAAAGAAACGCAAACATGTGTTCAACATCTAGAAAAGATACGAAATCGCAGATTCAAAGCAAATAGCGGAGACTATCTTTTCGTTGAAGAAAGTTAACTTCAGGCACTACAGAGGTATTAATTTACTAAATTTTGTATATAAAACGGAACGGAAAGATTCCAAATAATAAAATAAAGGATTTAACGGTGATACTGATGGTTAGATATTAACACGATTAGAGAGGCAAAAATATGACAAATTGGCAGCTGTGAGAGAATTCTGCTATTCGATTAATTTAAATTTACCTAAACATGTTTTATTATCAGCATATACAACGAAAGATCAAAAACTGAAAGGTTTTCGTGGCAAGGGTGGCTTTAGGATATATATGCCCAATAAACCTAGTAAATACGGCATAAAAATCTACGCATTAGTAGACACTAAACTTCCATATACCGCAAATCTAGAGGTGTACGTTAGACAACAACCACCTGGCCCATATAAAGTTGATACGAGCAATATTTCCCTCTGCAGTCCTATATCTGGTTCTTAATGAAATGTGGAAGGAAAATTTGGAAGAAATGTGGAAGGAAAATTTGGAAGAAATGTGGAAGGAAAAGTACAGGGCTCATCCGCAAAAATCTTTCGCGCAGCAGTTTCCAAAACTAGAATTGCCATTTGGATCGCTAACCTTCGAAAGGAGTTGGCGCCATGAGAAGAAGAATGAAATGTAACAATGAACAATTTTTTTACGAGCCTCAGTTTGGCCGATTTTCTTTTAAATGAACATCATCTGACTATGACAGGCACTATGAGAAAATACAAAAGAGAGCTTCCTCTTCAATTTACTGATCCTAAGAGACCAGAAAACTAACACGGAAGTATTGCGAGAAATGGACAAAGAATGCGAAATAATAAACACAATAAAAATAAGAAAGTTATAATATCTGGGACACGTAATAAGGGGACAGCAATATGAACTGCTAAGGCTGATGATACAGGAAAAGATAGGAGGAAGGAGTATAGGGAGAATTAGAGTGTTATGGTTGAAGAATTTAAGGGACTGGTTTAAATGCAGTTCTATAGAACTCTTTAGAGCAGCAGTAGATAAAGTAAAGACAGTGATGATGATATCCAACCTCCGATTGGGAGACGGCATTTAAAGAAGAAGAAGAAGAAGAGACCAGAAAAACAAACATGTTTGCTTTTAGAGGAAAATGTACGATTGTGTCGTATACACCCAGAAAATACAAATACGTTATTTTACTCTTAACGATGCACCATGATGATTTACTAGAGGAATTAACGGGCAAGCCAGAAATCATCATTGGCTATAATAAATTAAAAGAAGGAGTAGATCTAGTTGATAAAATGTGTACCGCCTATAATAGCGCTCGAGCCACTCGCCGATGGCCTATGGTCATTTTTTTTTCTGCAATGTGCAAAGCAAGTGGCGCAAAATAGAGGACACTGGATTGATTTGGAGGATGCCTATGTCCAAAGTTGGATTACTTAAGGCTGAAGAAGAAGAAGAAGACCTACAGGATGATATTTCCGAAGATTGTTTTATTTCCGTTTATTCATGTATCGACTTTGCCGATCTCAAACATTTTTTTTTATTTAGCCTTTATTTAATTTCTTAGAAATAGTTGTTTTGTATTTATTTAATTTGGGTTTTTGTATTTTATAGTACTCAAAATGTGAAAAAGATATATTAGTTAACTTTTACTTACAAAGTATGAGTTTAATTCGAAACTTTTTTTTGTCTATTTTAATTATATATTTAAAGAATCGACCAGTACTCAGACCGTTTTGCGAAAATATTTGTTTTTTTGGTACTTTTTAGATTTGTAGACTACTAGTTCGACGTTACATTTTGAGTACCATCATGTCACGCTATCCCTGAAAGGTTAAATGACTTAGTATCAAATCAAAAATTGCATCCTTCACATCCACACATACACACAAAAACAAACATACAGTATTGTGCGAATTAATGGAATCACTGTGAATTTTTTTCATTTTTTCAATATTCAGAGTTGGCAACACTACCTACACAGTTGACAGCTGACCAAGTATTGAAAACATAACCTTACTGTGTGTTGGTGTGTTTGAGTGTTTTTTAGGTCATTTCTTACCAAGCTTGTGTTGTTTTGGGGGTTTTTGTACTATTTTGTGTTGTTTTTGGTTTTATTCCAACATGGATATTACGCCTAGGAAGCGTGAAAAGATTGTCACGTTGAGTGAATACACTAGTATGTCACAAAGAGAGATTGCTAGAATGTGTGGAGTGAGTCAGGGGGTAGTAAGCAAAATTGTGAAGCGTAAACGAGAAACGGGATCAGTGGATGTGAAAAGGTTAGGAAAATGTGGAAGAAAGAGAAAAACAACACCAGCAGATGATAGATTTTTACTTCGAAAGAGCAAATTGGACCCAAGAAAATCAAGCCAAGACCTACAACAAGATCTAGCAGCATCAGCTATAGTGATTCATGACTTAACTGTTCGTAGAAGACTTTTGGAGAATGATAAAAGGGCAATTCGTCCACAGAAAAAACAGCTTCTAACTGAACGAATGAAGAAACAAAGGCTACTGTGGGCCAAAAAATACTCTAATTGGACTGTAGGCGACTGGAAAAAAGTCCTATTTCCAGATGAAACCCACTTTATAGTTCAGGGACAGCGGTCGAAATTCGTCAGGAAGTCTGACAATGAAAAGCTTACACCATCTCATATTGATCAAACCGTAAAACATCCAGTCAAAAAAATGTTTTGGGGTTGGATCTTTGGTGCCAATTGAAGGCATGATGAACAGCCAAAAATACAAATCCATGTAAGAAAAGTATTTGGACAAACAACTCCAAAAATGTCAACCCCAAGGAGGAGCGGTTCTTCAACAGGACTCTGCTCCCTGTCACAAATCAAAGGAATTGATGGCATTTTTCAAAAATAAGAAGATTAATGTTTTATATTGACCCGGTAATTCGCCCGACCTTAACCCCATTGAAAATTTATGGGCCATTTGCAAAAAAAATGATAGAAGCGGCCATTCAGGTTTGGTATCGAGATGAAAGGATATCTGACAACTCATAGAATCTATGCCAAAACGGGTAAAAGCAGTAATTGCTGCCAAAGGGGGACATATTTCCTACTGAATGATGTAAGTTTACCTTTATAGTTTTGTCAAAATGTAATTTTTTACTAAATAAACTGTTTTTTCATTAAAACAGCCTATGATTCCATTAATTCGCAAAATACTGTACTACTTATTTTACAAAAAAATCAATATACTATAAATTCAATTTAATAATAAATAATTTTCTTTTAGAAATTTGTTCTGATAGATTTTTAGAAACCATTAGTTGATGGTTTAAGAATACACATAATTGTTCGCCAAATCATGAAGAAATAGCATACTAACTAACAAAACACATTAAACCAATTATTTAGAACAATTTTTGTAACTATTAATACCATAGTTTCTTCACATAATCCGAAATCTTTCTTGTCGACATCGATTTTCTGAGGAATATTTGGAAGTCCGTCCTGTATAGGTGGAAAGCAATATTAATTTATTGGTGGCATTCGTAAAGTGAAAACGATATTTCGAGGGTCTCGAGAATAGATCTGTCCTTTTTCAATGGTCTCTAACAATATCGAGGTATATTCTTAGAACCCAAACGCCAAACACATCGGGGCCAAGCTGTCTAGCTGAGAAACCGTAGACCAAACGTTGAATTGAATGTATTTCAGAGAAAGTTAATTAGACGGTCGGGTTTTGTTTAGTTTTAGGGTTTTGTTTTTGTAATTACATATTTTAAAACTGTGGAGCAGGTATACGAATAGAAATAATATGAGAAATAATAATATAAGAAAAGAAAATTTACATAGTAATTATAATGGTCTTTCAAAATCCATAAATACCATATGAGCTTTGTTTTTACTACAGTAGTATTTTTTCATCCCTAACAAATCAATTAACAACTGTTATAGTCCGTCTGTATTCAGTTTTCAGATGGATTTACTCGTAGTATGTTTCACAATTAATAAACCAATTTTATATTATAATTATTATTATTATTTACAATCAATTTTAGCAGGGGTCGCAAAACCCATATGCCCATGAGAATACAATGTTATAGCGTGCAGTTAAATAGTTACATTACAATAGTTACATATTAAGCATTAACTAACTAAATAAATATACAAAAACATAGGTAATAGCAAGTGTTTAGTACAAATTAAATGTTCAACTATGGAGCAAATGTCCATCCAGTTTATTTTTGAAAATATTAACAGATGGAGCATCTATGATCTCAGCCGGAAGGCTATTCAATATCGAGAACACTCGATTACAGAGAAAAAAGATTACTAGTTGTTAAAAAAGTTTCCTTTTTAAACTTAAGTTTGTTTCCATAAAGACGATTGTCATTGTCTAGTATAAACATGTCCCCCACATTTCCAAAGTTGTATTTTACTATCTGAAACGTAATAATTAGATCGCCTCGAAGTCGACGTTGTTCAAATGCAGTGACATTGACCATATTCAGTCTTTCTGAATAGGTAGGTCTTGAGCGATCAAAAGACATCCTAGTGCACAGCCGGTGGAGGTTTTCGAGAATATTACGATCGCGCACTTATACCGGACACTAGACAGTTCCGCAATATTCCAGAACTGGACGAATGTACAGTTTATACAGATGAACTGAG